TCTTGATACTTTGCTGCCAAGGTCAGGTACACTTTCCTATAGTAATGATTCAATTATGTACCTTTCTAGCTAGGTCAGAAAAATCTGATGCAGCCAGGAGCGAATTGATGTAATTGTACTTTAGGCTGCAATCGGCCTTGATCCAACAGTGCAGCCGAAAGTGGCTTGCTCTCTACTGTCCCATTTCCCACTCCAAAAACTAATCCGTTCTACATGGAGTATAAAACACAGTCACAATAAACCCTGAATCGTTGGTGCTTTACAGCTGAATTGTGAACTTTTTTTGGGGGGGGGTGTGAAATCCAGTTGCTTGAACTTCACTGGGTTGGAGCGATTTATTAGCAAGAGATCCCTAAAAGTGCCAGGAGGTACGCTCTGTTCCTGCTTATATTTAAATTACCGATAAAATGTGTAGGATTTGAGGAGTCTCCTGGTGGATCAATATGATTAATTAATGAAGAAACAGGGTTAGATTTCTAAAGCTGCAGGCAGAGCAGTAGATTAATTAAATACAAATAAATTAGAAACAGATGAACACCACTGGGATTACTTTTGTGGCAACATTAACTTTCTTTTTCTCTTTTAAGCTAAAACTTTGCTAAAGTGTTGTAGATGTTGGATGGTCACTTCCCTTCGAATACCGGGCTCTCTGTTTGTGTAAATTGCAACTGGACTGTGAACAGATCATACAGAACCTCTCATACAGAAGTGATGTTTGCCTATTCACCCAGATATTTATTTACTTACTTCCCTTCTTGTCTGCCTTTCCTACCGAACCTCAAGGTGCATTAAAGAATCTTTTTTTCTCGGAGTGCAATGGAAACAATAAGTACACTGTAAAGCCATGCAATGAAACTGAATGACAAACGTAGAAAACGAGGTTAAAAAAACACCAGTGTGATACACAAGATGCAATGAAAACTATCTAATTTTTTTACACAGAACATAAAATTACAACCCTATTGGTGGTGGAGAGTGCCCTCAAATCACAACTGACTTATGGCAAACCCCGTGCGGTTTTCCAAGCAAGAGACATTCAGAGGTGGTTTGCCATTGCCTGGCTCCGTTTCATGACCCTGGTACTCCTTCGAGGTCTCCTATCTAAATACCAGCCAGGGCTGACCCTGCTTAGCTTAGCTTCTGAGATCTGATGAGATCAGGCTCGCCTGGGCTATCCAGATAGATCCAGGTGGCACCTTTAAGACCAACCAAGTTTTATTCAAGGTATGAGCTTTCGTGAGCAAGCATGCGCATTTTATCAAATACAATGGAATGGGAGGTAAGGTCCAAACCTATAGACAGGGTCTGAACAGCAAATTAACATGTAACATGATGAAGATGTTTTAAGATATGCGAAGAGAAAACTAAATAACAAGCTAAGGTTATTAGGTCAACAGTTGTAAAGACATGAATATGTCAAATAAGACTGAGACTCAAGCGTGGAGGTCACATAACAGCATTTAAAAAAAATTTTTGAGGTGGGTATAGTGTATTGTCAACCAAACATTCCAATATTCTTTGTATTACATTCAGTACTCTAATATACCATTCTGAAAAATACACTAAAATACAGAGGATGTATAGTCCCTCTGTATGAGAATACATATGTGAGGACTTATAGTACCCAGGTCAGGGATAAAATGCTCTCCAGAACGATTCCATTTACTACAACCCTATGTCCTTTATCTTGCTTTATAAATGTATTCTAGCAATGAAGCCTTGCCTAGAACTTTGATCACAGAATTCTTTCCTTACCTCCCCCCCCTCGCTTCCTTTTACTTCTCTATCTCTTCCGAATAAATTTAAGTTGCACTCTGTTAGGTGTTGAGGGGGGGAAATCTTCTCTGATCTGGAAGACCCAGGTTCAAAAAACCCCTCTGCCATTGAAGCTCCCTAGGTGACCTTGGATCCCACATTCTAACCTACCTCACAGTGTTGTTGTGAAGATAAATTGGAAGAAGGGAGACCGGCATATGTCAAGTGTGCTAGATAAAAGTAGTTTGGTTTCTTGCTGGGCATTCTCAAGTCAGGAGCAGATCAAAAGTTCACCAGTCCAGCACACTAAGGTTGCAATTGTATGCTTACATGGGGTTACCCTTTAAATTCAGTGAGTAAAGTACTTTTGAGTAAAGATCTACAAGATCAGCCTGCAGTCATATGCTCATTATTTCATTTTTAAGCCATCTTTCCTCTCTGCCTCTGTTTTGTCTTCACAACAACCCTGTGAGGTAGGTTAGGCTAAAAAGCAGTTAGCTCAAGGTGAGCTTTATCCCAACTGAGTTTTAAGGCAATTGTGGATTTGATCTCAGCCCCCCTTGCCTAACATGCTAATCACATGACCCACTGGCACTTGACTTGGGAGTAAGGCCTACTGATATGAATGGGGCTTACTTCTGAGTCAACTCTGCTCAGGAGACCTCTGGAATGCCATTTGGAATTTCACGGACAGGACAGGACAGAGAGAACCTTATTTTGCTGTCTGTCCTCAGTGTCCGACCATTTCTTCTATATCCTAGGAAGTCCGGGGCCGTTCGGTGCAATCGTAAACACGTATCCTCAGAAGTAAATACCTCAGCATTCAATGGAACTTGTTCCCTAGTATGTGATTTTGGGATTGCAGCCATAATCACCCACTAGGATTCCATCCTCACTTTTCATTTGAGCCAGAAGACAGGAGCTAGTCCAGGAGAAACAAATATTGTTTGGGAAAAGAGTATGAAGGCCGCACTGTCCACTTGCACATGTTTGGCCTGTGGTGGCCTACAGCAGCATGAACTGGTGGCACTATCATGACACACTCAAATCAGTGTTATAGGTACACTGTACAGTTTCATCTCATGGAAATCAGTTTGTGGAACTAGAACTGCCAGCAAGCCTGGAGAATGTCCTGTTCCTTTAATAGAGGCCTAATATGTGGAAATGGGTTCATGAAGTTTTTCATGGCAAGGGAGGTAAAGGATATCCCATTAAGCCTCTATTAAAGGGACAGGACACTTTTCCTCCAGGCAGTTGGCAAACTTAAGAAAAACAGAGGCACCGACCAGTGGCTGATTTTGACCCAGTCCCACTACATTCACTAAGAGCTGGGCAGATTTAAGTACTAGGACAGATTACCAGGGTTTTTTGTTGTTGTTGTTCAGTCGCACAGTTGAGTCCGACTCTTTGCGACCCCATGGACCAGATCACGCCAGGCCTTCCTGTCTTCCACCGTCCTCTGAAGTTGGCTCAATTTCATGTTCGTTGCATCTATGACACTGACTAACCATCTCATCCTTTGCCGTCCCCGTCTTCTTTGACCTTCAATCTTTCCCAGATTGAAAGAAGAAAGATTGGGAAAGATTACCAGGGAGTAGCACCTAAAAGCAGGTTTGTAAAATGGTGCTTAATTTTGCCAGGATTGTGCCCCATGTTCATAAAACAGGGAACACACAGGATTCGAGGGTGCTATTTTAATTACTGGGATGTTCATTTTCCGACAAGGATGGAACACTTTTCCCAAGGGAGTATCTCTGGGCCACTGCCCTGTGGAGCCACAGTCATTATGGTTCTGCTTAGAAGGAAGCCATTGGAGATACCTCCTGAAAAGAGGAAGGATGGGGAATGTCTGCCAGAGGGAAGGCTTGGAAAGCTATCCCTGCTGGCTTGGATGAACATCCCTTTGAGAAAGGAGGCTCTTGCGTTTGAGTCAACCCTGCTTAAGCTGGGGCTACCTACCACTCTCCCCGCACCTGCTATGCTGGTGGAGAGCACCCCCTCCCCCAGATTTCAAAAAGCCAGATGAGGGTGGGCTGGACGAGATAAACCAGGTCTAAAACCTGCACGTGTGAACCCGGCTTCCCTGTTGAGTGAACTCGGGTTTGTTGTAACTTTCACCTGTGTGGAACAGCCCCTATTTGCTCTCAATAAACGCGCATTGGGGGGGGGGAGGTACCCCGAGGCAATGCAGGCCGAGGCCACCCCCTCCTTGCTCGCCCTCGGGTCGCGCCGCCCGTCGCTTCTGCCGCCTTGGGCGTCCTCCGGGGCGCGTTCTTCCGTCCGAGGCGGGGAAAGCCCCGGCAGCCGGGCTCGCCCCCACGTCTCCCAGCAGGTGACACCTCCCGGCTCCTTCCCCGGGCCCGGCCCCTCCCTGAGCAAAGCCCTGTGGCTTCGCGGCGCCCCCGGCATTCTCCGGAGAGGCTGCTCAGACAAGCCGCGTCTCCTCCTGTCACCTTTCAGGCAGGGGCAGCCAGGAGGAAGTCGCGGGCTGCCGAGGTGCCTCGACAGCCGGGAGGCGCGGCACTAAAAGCAGGTCGTCCCGGCCCGGAGTTGCTTGCTGGGCTGCCGCGGGCGTCCGGCGAGGAGAGGATCTGAAGAGCTCGGATGGGTCGCCGGGAAACTTCCAGGGAACTTTAAGGACGCCCCGGACGTTCCCGTCTGAGGTCTGGCGGTAGATGGAGTCTCCAAGACACCCACTGGCGGAGTAGCCGCGGGCGCCGTCTTCGCAGCTGCCGGCTCCTTTCCAGCCCGCAGATTTGTGCCTCCTTCACCCACCAGTTTACTCCAGTCTGACTCTCCAAAGTTGCTTCCTCGAAAATCTCGCAGGTCCGAAGGTGTTCCTTCCCGGACTGGAATCTAACTGTTCTGCTGCAGCCCGGCGCGGCCGCCCGCTGAAACGATCTCCATCCATAAGGAATCTCTCCGGGCTTCTCCACTCCAGCAGCGCCCCGCCACTCCAAAGTCCGCTCCGAAGGCGCGCTGTGGACCCTCTCCTGGCAGCGCTTTCCGTCGGCCGCGACCCCTCGGGGATCTTCTGCCAGGTTGCCAGTCCTCCGCGCCGCCTGGCCCCGAGGGCGCCAGCTTCCCGGCCTGCCGAGCCTCTTCGTCGGTGAGGGGGGCAGGCTCTTGAGCCTGAAGGGCCCTCGTCAGCTGCCCGCGCATTGGAGACCCTCCTCCAGACGGCAGCCCCAAACAGCGAGGCTGGCGCGCCTCCCCCGTTGCCGGCAGCAGGGCCCGAGCCCGGCATGACAGCCGAGAGCCCCCCGGCGTCGTCGAGGTGCGCGGCGGGCCATGCGGAGGCCGAGGCCGGCCCTGCGTCGAGGCTGCCCGCCTTGGTCAAGCTGGAAGCCGCGCCCGCCGGCGACCCGTTGGAGGCCGAGCCGTCGGAAGAGGAGGCGCCGGCGGCGGCGGCGGGGGGCCTGCTGCGGCCCGCGGGGCGTCGCAGGAAGCGGCCCGTGCAGCGCGGGAAGCCGCCCTACAGCTACATCGCGCTCATCGCCATGGCCATCGCGCACGCCCCCGAGCGGCGCCTGACGCTGGGCGGCATCTACCGCTTCATCACCGAGCGCTTCCCCTTCTACCGCGACGGGCCCCGCAAGTGGCAGAACAGCATCCGCCACAACCTGACGCTCAACGACTGCTTCGTCAAGGTGCCCCGCGAGCCCGGCCGCCCGGGGAAGGGCAGCTACTGGACCCTCGACCCGCACGCCCGCGACATGTTCGAGAGCGGCAGCTTCCTCCGCCGCCGCAAGCGCTTCAAGCGCAGCGACCTCTCCACCTACCCGGCCTACATGCACGAGGCGCCGGCCCAGCCCGCCGTCGGGCCTCCCCTGGGCGCCCCTTACCCGCCTCCCGCCTCCCTCTTGTACTCCTCCCCGCCGCCCCTCTTCGGCCTGGGCACCCTCATGGCTCAGCCCAGCCCGGAGCTGGCCCAGCAGCAGCAGAACCCGGACGTCGCCCCTTCCCCTGGCAGTAACTGCTCCTTCCCCGGCCCTGCGGCCTACTCTAGCCAAGGCTGCCCTGCAGGGCCTGGCCTCCCGAGGCCCCACAGCGCCGTGCCTTACTCCTACCCGCTCCCCACTGCCCAACAGCTCCAGGTGAGCCAAGGCGCCTACCCTCAGAGCAGCGGCAGCCACCTCTTTGGCACCTCGGCCCGCCCGCTTGGGAATGACCCCATGGACTTCTACGGTAGGATGTCTCCCAGCTCCTACAGCTCCCTGACTCACGGGTACAACGCTGGCGGGCAGCTTGGCAACCCCGGGGCCTACCTGCGGCATGCGACTTACTCCAGCAATGTGGAAAGATTTGTGTCGGCCATCTGAAGGCAAGGGAAGAGCAGGGAATGTTTGGGTGGCGATGCCGGGTGAGGCCTGCGGTTTGGCCGTGGAGGGCCTCTGTTGGCTTCAGCACATAAGCATGTTACCCGGCATTGCATGGTGGGGGGGCGCATCATAGTATTCCCGTGATGCCGCTTTACGCTCTGGTAAAGAACCGACCTGTGAAAGACCTGAGAGAAACAGGATGATGGGAATTGGGGCCTGTGGTTCTTGGTCACCATAAAGATCTAGTGACAGCAGGTGGGGGACAGATGCAGAACAGACTGTGACATCTGAAAACACAGCGCCCTAAAGTCCAAGTGACTGCAAAATGTTAGAGGGCCCCACACATACACTCTGCTTAGTTCTCCTGGGCTTGATTGTAGGGGGCTTTCTTGCCTTTCCATAATGCGCCGGAAGCTGTCCTCGCTTTCGCTTTCTATTCTTTGAGTTTAGCCAATTGCTAGCAAATTATGAATAGCTAGGTGTGTGCTTGCCTTAATTCTGATTTTTTTTCCCAGTGACTCACGAATCACAAATCCATTTGGACAGATAAATACAGGCAGAGGGGAGGGGGTGTTCAATGAATCACACTTCCTTTTGGCAAGGGTTCTGTGTAAGTTCTGATTTCAGAAGGCTTTGGGAATGCATCTGCAATAAACAACTTTCCCCATAGACTTTGTCAGATTTTTTACGGACTGCTGCTGATAAATTTAGTTGGGTATGTTTTTGTTTTGTTTTGTTTTAAGGAGGCAAGGGAAGCCGCTGCATTCATTGTGTGTTTCGCTCCTGACTAGCCTGAAGTCAGATTTATTTCTCTGTTCTTGCTCAGGGTTAGGATGCCGTAGTCTGCGGTCCTAATACTCGGTTAATTGCTCAGAGATCAGGTGTAGGAAAGCTTCCAATCCACTCCCACGGAGTCCCACGAAAAAAATGCCTTAAGAGAAGGCATCTCTTCCGTTCAGTTTGATTAGCTTCTCTTTTCAGCCTCCTTTGGAAATACCCAGGAAATGATTCCCAGTCGAAAAATTGGATGGATGTAAAGTACCATCAAATCTCAGCCAATTTAGGGCAGCCCTGTGGTGTTTTCAGGCAAGAGACCAACAGAGGTGGTTTGCCACTGGCTGCCTCTGCATTCCAACCTTGGACTTCTTTGGTGGTCTCCCATCCAAGTGCTAACCAGGGCCAACCCTGCTTAGTTTCTGAGATCTGATGAGATCAGACTAGCATGGGCCATCCTGGTCAGAGCAAGTCAGAATTTACTGAATGTGTATCTCATCCGTCTGCTTCTGTTACAGACAATGGGTTTTTTGGTAAAGAAATGGCTCAAAACACTGTTGCCGAGCTGCCATACAGAGAACCAGACTTTTAAGGTGAACAGTGCCGTGGGAGATTGGGTAGCCCCTCCAACAAGCCAGCCAGCCCTTTTCTGGTCCTTCTGCTCTCCCTCTTCAGCGAAGGAAGCAGGACTTTGAATGTGGTGGTGGAAAGTACTGTCAAGTCACAGCCAGTTTCAAGGCAAGAGACGTTCAGAGGTGGCTTGCCATCGCCTGCCTCTGTGTTGCAACCTTGGTATGCCTTGGTAGTCTCCCATTCAAGTACTAATAAGGGTTGACCCTGTTTAGTTTTTGAGATCTGACAAGATCGGGCTAGCCTGCACTATCCAGGTCAGGGCACTTTTAATAGAACCCTAGAGAAGGTACGCGGAAAGACCACAGAAGTCATAAATGACAGCTGCATAATCTGCTGCAACGTCAACGGTGAAATCTGGTTCTCCAAGTTATAACCCGGCCAGCCTGAGCTGGAAAATGTATTGTTAGAATAGGTGCTATCGTGGATCCAATGAGCTCAGCACTGATCAAGTACCAAGTAAAGTTGTGCACGGGCAGGTAAAATGAACATGTTAAAAAGGTTCCTCGAAGCTTACAGTTTCAGTCTTCAGGGGTTGCTGGCAGATGGCATGTTTGAATGTTCTTCTAAACGAAACCACATTGCTTGTGGAACTAGATGACGGGGAGAAAACCCCACACCCCAAAATGCTAGTTTTCTGTGTGTAAGGAGGTTTTTTTTAAAAAAAAAAATGTGGGAAGTCTTTGAAGATGCAATTCCCCTTCTGCGCCAAATCTTAAATGATATAATTTCTGTGAAATGATTTATCACCATGTACGGATTGGTTCTTGAAGCCAGCCTGAAAGATCATGTGGTTTGACTTCAGAGCACCTATCGCAAGACGCTGAAAAATGCCCTGCTGGATTTAATCAGGGTCTTGCCCAACTGTATTTAGCCCGATGGCTTCAGGCATTCCGTTCCAAGGTACGAAGGAAGTGGTTTCTGCCTGTTTCAAGCACCTGGTATTCAAAAGTATCTTGGCTTTGTACATGGAGGTTCCATTTACCGATCATACCTACGGTACTTGCCTCCATGAAAGTATCTTTTATCCTTTTCTAAAGTCATCTAAGCCCTAACCTGGACAGCACAGGCTAGCCTGATCTCATTGGATCTCGGAAGCTAAGTAGGGTCAGCCCTGGTCAGTGCTTGAATGTAAAATTGTTTGTTTTTATTCTGTTTTTATGTATCGGCACACGGTGCCCTTGTTTGTGAGCCGCCCTGAGCCCATTCGTGGGGAGGGCGGGGTAGAAATTTAATAAATAAATAAGGCCGCTGAGGAAGTCCAGGGTCGCTACACAGAGGCAGCCAATGGCAAGCCACCTCTGAACCTCTCTTGCCTTGAAAATCTTATGGGGGTCACCATAAAGTCGCCTGCGACTGGACAGCAAAAAATAAAAAGGTAATCTAAACACATGATTATCACCGCATCATGTCATGGTGAATTCTGCAGATTAACTATGTGTTGTGTGAAGTACTTTCTTTTGTTCATTTTAAACCTGATCAGCTGCTGATAAATTCCATTCGGTTCCAGTATCCTGAGAGGAGAAAATTTACCTCAGCAAGAGTCATTCTATGGCTGGTTTTTTTTCTATTCCAAGTATACTGGAGGAGGGATTATAGGACTAGGATCATAGTGAACTGTTAAAAAAAAAAAAAGTCTTCTGAAAATGTTTTGTGTCAAAAGCCCACCAGATTGTGCGATACAAATAAATTACAAGCTTTGGACAAATATGCATCTTTCAGGGCTTTTTTTCTGGGGGAATGTGCTGGAACGGAGTTATGGAACCTCTTCAACAAAATTCTTTTTTAAATGTTTAAAAGTTTATGAGTTTTCAGTATACAGATTGAAAACTTCATTTTCCTCTTGAGTGTTCTGGCACCTCTTTTTTTTTTTTTTTAAGCAGCCCTGATCATTCCCATACTCCTCTCTGTATGATTTTATATGGGATTTATCTGTGGGGAAGAGAGAAAATACAGACCAAAAAGAATGGGATGCTGAGGGAGAACAGTTCAGAATGAAAATATTCTATGACCCCCATCCTCCCAAGTAGCAGAACTGTCCCTTTTTGAAGCTTTCTGCAGAAACTGCCCATGTGCAGACCGGAAGGTCGGTAGCTCAGCAGTTCGAGACCCCAGTGCTGCATGACGGAGTGAGCTCCCGTCTCTGGCCCCAGCTCCTGCCCACCTAGCAGTTCAAAAGCAAGAAATTGCAAGTAGATAAATAGGTACCGCTTTGGTGGGAAGGGAACAGCGTTCCGTGCGCCTCTGTGTCTAGTCATGCCGGCCACATGACCACGGAGATGTCTTCGGACAGCGCTGGCTCTTCGGCTTGGAAATGGAGAGGAGCACCACCCCCTAGAATCGGATTCGACTGGCTTTCGAGCAAGGGAAACCTTTACCTGGTAAAGAAGACATGTCCTGGGAGTTTTTTGGCAAAACCGAGATTCTCAGGCATTCTGATTGGGACTGTGAAACATTGGGAGACAGGGTTTGTCCCGTCTCCCTATCATTTTCCTGACCTGAAGTTGCCCAGGGGAGCCATTGTTTGACTCATTGGGGAAGGTGCTGTGTAGCCCATAGGTACACATAAGTTCCCCAACAGGCAAATAGGGGCTGCGGTCACACGTAACAGAAGCCACACAAGTGAGACGGAAAACAGCCGGAGTTTCCGGGCGCGATCTCACCAGCACATCTGGGAAGCGTAGCACTCCCGTGGCTCAACCGAGGCTTCCAGCCGAAACTGCGTGACAAAAAAATAGTACCTTGGAGGTACTAGTTTCCGGAAACTGCGGGGCAAGGGCGGGCGTCTGATCGCGTTTTCGGTGGCATCCGGCGCCCGCCCATGTCCCCTTGCAAATAAGGTGGTGTTTTTTTGTCCAAGTCTCTGTGGATGCGCATGCGCACCCAACGGAGCATGCGCATTTGTCATGTACACAAAAATAATAAACAGTTTGCCGCGGCGCACGCTTCTTCGTTGTGCGCCGGCTTGTCCTGTGATCGGCACCTCTCCCTTGCCATGGAACCTCCACGGTACCTCCACAGGACCTCCACAGGAGGTCTGATCACGTAACTGCGTAACTGCCCCAGGGCAAACAGCCACGCTTCTCCCCCGCAGTTTCCTCTCTTGCTAGCATCCAACAGTCCTCACAGTTCTAGATTCCTGTGCACTCAAAAGCAGTTTTGCAGATTTCATACCTAGCAGGGAGGCTTTCCATGTCACCTTTTCTTCCTAAGGACTCGGCCATTTCCGCATAGCTTATCTAGCCCAGGTTAAATGCTTTCGAGAAACTGGATTCCCACCCCCCTCACCCCGCTTTTCCATAGCATTGTGCTGCATTCATGTACCTCCTGCGGTTTCCCTGGCTTTTCTCCAATCTTTCTCAAATTTGCTGCTTGTTGAGTTTTGGAAAAGGTCACAGTAAAACCTGGATGGCTGCTATATGGGTGGGAAAGTCCAGATTTTCCCACCTGGGTGGCAGACGTTTTCCTTGACACTGCAAAATTAGTTCACTGATAGCACTGACCTTTCTTGTTGGATCTCAGTGTTGCCCTCAAATGAATCGGAATGGACACGTGCAAGCCTAAGAATTCTTGTTCCAGTCTACACCTATTGATTTCAATAACTCTGCATAGATTGCACTGTGAATCAACCACAGCTCTCTGTAATCGTTCAGCAGCAGGACATCAGGTTTAACGGACCACTGGCTGGAACTGTGTCGCCACTCAAGCCTTGCTCCCACAGGAATTGCACATATGCTGAATGCCCAAAGGGCATGGCTTGCACACCTGTCTCATGCCTGCACATTTTGCCAAAGGTCTGAAGAGCCTGAGTGCGTGCAAGTATTAAGTATGGAGGGAGCTGTATGCTGGGGTCATTTCGTAGAAAAAGAGGTGCAGGAGCTCATTAGCATAACTCATTAGCATAACTTATTTGCATATGCCACACCCCCTGACATCACCGGTGTGTCAGAAGGCAACACCCTCTGCTCAGGCTCCACTGGACTGTTTTGGATTGCTAGCTATTGGGGGGGGGGGAACGTGCCGATCTGTCCTCACAGAGGAGGGAGAGCTTGTACCTGAATAAAACTTGGTCTTAAAGGTGCCGCTGGACTGTTTTGGACCAGTGGGTCGGGGGGGGCCTCTGCAGCTTACCTGGCTGCTTCTTGATCTGACTGAGGGCTGCTGGGAGCAGTGGGGGGGCTTGTTGCATGTGCCCGCCCCCTGGGCTCTTTACTGCTGGAGCTCCGCTCCTGTGCGCTCCTGCAGGAAATGACCCCTGGCTATATGTACAACTGAGGACCCTGCCATTTGTAGGATTTCGAATGAGATGACTGCAGAGTTTAGGACTGGGGACTGATTAAATGGTTCCATCCTTGTTTGCCTTCATCTTAACAGTCTAGACACCCACTTACGTCCTCCAGTTCTACCCTCTTTGTGTTTAAAACAGAAATGGTCATTTCCTGGTCAACCTTCCGTAGCCCTCAGAGCCATTGCTGCTGAATTGACCACCTTAAGGATGATGTTCTTTCAACAAACTGCAGAGAGTGACAGCAAAGTTTCCCCCTTGCTTTTATTGCTCACATAAGAATAACAAGGATCATGTATTCTAACAGTGTTTCATGCTGGACAGAAACAAATGTTGCCCATGTGCCAATTTTTAAATTAAAGAGAGGGATAAAACTCTTGTTCCAAATGGTCATTTTCCACGGACACCGGCATTTCTGGTTCTTCTGATCTGGATGTCTGCTCCAGTTCCACTTAAAAAAAGAGAGAGAAATATCTTCAGCAAAAAGCATCTTGCTTAGGGATGAAATTGTTTCAAGAACATTAACAACTGCTAAAATCAGCATATTCACTGATCACCGAAATGGCTTGGCATGGAAGGCCCAGTTGTGGTTCTGACTCAACATTTTGTGTGTGTGTGTGTGTGTGCTGTTTGTTTTATCGTTGTATAGCTATCATTTTATGATGTCTGTTGGAGTACATTCTATAAGCTGCCTTGAGCCCAAGATACGAGAAAAGGGCAGGGTAATCCCCCCCCCCCGATTTTTGACTGATTTCTAGCATCCTACTGGAGATGGAAATTGCTGTCAAATCGTGGCTGACTTATGGTGACCTCACGTGGTGTTTTCCAGGCAAGAGATGTTCAGAGGTAGTTTGCCATTGCCTGCCTCTCCGTAGCAACCCCGGACTTCCTTGGTGCTCTCCCACCCAAATACTAACTTGTGCTAACCCTGCTTAGCTTCTGAGATGTGACAAGATCAGGCTAACCTGGGCCATCCAGGTCAGGGCCTAAGCAAAATTACACTCTTCTAAGCCCGTTGATAACAATGAATTTAGAAGGATATAACTCTGTTTAGTATTGCACTGCTAATATTCTGTTTTGGTGAGGCAGGGTAGCTTCAGTCTTTGTCTGGGGAATGATCCATATGCAAGCTCCTTCAACAGATGAGCCATCTCAATTCCCTGGACTATTCAATCGCACTCCTGGATTCCTTTGTACTCTTTGGCCAGTTCACAGCTGAATTTCCCTATAAGCACACAGCATTTCGGCTGTGGAGTCAGTGAAAGCTTTGTTGACTCAATTCCTCAGACTGGGATTCCAAACGTCAGGAACTGCTGCCTGTTGCTGTGGATCCGCATAACAAAATATCAGTACCAACAAGGGTCTTTCGTAGAAAAAGAGCTAGGGGAACTCATTAGCATAACTCATTAGCATATGCCACACCCCCTGACATCAGGGGCCCGGCGATGGACCAGCAAGGCCAGCGGGAGTGCGAGGAAGCCCCGCCAAGGCCCTCCCTGGCCCCAGGCAGGCAGGGGTGGGGAGAGGCGGGGAGGAAGCAACTTACCCTCCCTCTTCTCCTGCCTCCTCCTGGCTGAATAAGGGCCGGAAGCGGGGCAGCCGGAAGCAGGGGGCGGGGCTTCGTCATGTGCCCTGCCCCCCGTACCTCACCCGAGGGAACTGCGTTCCCCCGCATTCCCCCCCCCGAAATGACCTCTGAGTACCAAAGCAATCAGCTTCCCATCTGTTGTGTGGTGTGCTTTTTTTTGTTTTGTTTTGTAGGGCATGGATTAGGAGAGAACGAACATTTTATATTTTGGGAACATCCACACCTTGTTGGATGTTGCGCTACCACCGTGCTGTAGCAGTCATTTGCCACTGGACTGTCCTCCTTGCACAGTTAGATCCAGTTTTGTAGTACTGCTCTAGTGCAAGATCCAGCAACATATGGATGTAAGCCTCTGAGTGTTATGGTGCTAACATTTTGGGTTAAGTAAACTAAAGTTGTCGACCCTGGGGGGGATTTTGCTCAGCTTGTCTCACTCTGTGTCCTGGGTGGCCCAGGCTAGCCTCATCTCCTCACATCTGGGAAGCTAAGCAGGGTCAGCCCTTGTTTCTACTTGGATGGGAGACCACCTGGGAAGTCCAGGGTCACGATGTGGAGGCAGGCAATGGCAAACCACCTCACAATGTCTCTTCCCTTGAAAAAACCCACTAGGGGGTGCCATAAATCAGCTGTGACTTGACGGCGCTTTCCAGCATTACCAAGTTCCCGGTAGCTGCCATGCCTTTGCTCTTTGGGGCAAATTATTAAGAAAGGGCAAATTAACTAACCCCTTTGGGAGATCTGGGGAGTTAGGAGGCCTCAGTGGGGAGGGCAGTCCAAAGGCGAGGGGCCACCACTGAAAATGCCCTCTCTCTCTCTCTAGTCTGAACAGAGTTTGGGAGGCAGATCTCAGATGTTCTAATAACATCAATTCAGGACCAGTGTTCCCTCTAAGCTGAGTTAATGTGAGCTAGCTCACAGTTTCTTAGCCTCCGGCTCACACATTATTGTCTTAGCTCAGGAAGGATGGCTCCAGAGCAAACTAACTTATGCAGCAGTCAATTCATCTGCTCACAACTTTAATGCCGGTAGCTCACAAAGTAGAATTTTTGCTCACAGGGCTCTGTAGCTTAGAGGGAACATTGTTCAGGACCCTCCCTAACTCTGAAACCCAGTCCTTCCCTCTTGGTTTCCCTTTCCCTACCAAGCCACACTGTAATGCTTCAGCACAACTTATCAGGGAAAGCGGAGGAAACCCTTTTTGCAGGGTTTTTTTTTTCCTGGGGGAATGGAGTTCTAGCATCTCTTTGACAAAATTCTTTTTAAAATGTTAAAAAGTTCGCGAGTTTTCAGTATACATATTGAAAACCTCATTTCCCCCTTGAGAGTTCCTGCACTTCTTTTAGATGGTTAAAGGGAGAGGGGCAGCAATGAAAATCTGGTGATGATCGCCACAGTTTCAGAGGGAAAATGGCGCCAGTGTGGGCGGGGCCTTTGCAAATCCACATTTCCCACCCAGGCAGAATGATAATGTGCTTGGACGGCACTCCTCCCCAAAAGATTGCAGAAACTGCTTTGGGAAGGCGTTCACAGAGGACAGGAGAAGGACCCTTTGACCACACTGCAACATCATGTGGATGCTTTAAAAGAAGTGGCCCAGTTTGGTAGCCAAAGTGGAGAAAAAACCTTTGTGTGGAGGCAGCCCCCATGACATGGACTAGCCCCATGATGTGGGCTGGTCACGTCATGTGAACTCCAGGGCTGTTTTAACTTCGTGCATGTGTGTGCGTGCACCTGGAACTCATGGTTGACTTCTGGCGACCCCTAGTGGGGTTTGGACGTTTCAGAGAGGTGCCTTACTATTGCCTGCGTCTGCCTCCCAGCCCTGGTATTCCTCGGAGCTCTCCCTTCCAAGTGCTTGCCAGGGTCAGCCCTGCTTAGCTTCCGTGATCAGGCTTGCCTGGGCTATCCAGGTCAGGGTGGCTATTTTAGCTTTTCACTCTGCCCCTGGCTCCTGGAATAAAGAAATGGGCAAAAACTCTCTAGAGGACTTTGGGATACTGTTGCCCATCTCCAGATGGGGCTTGGAGATTTCCCAGAATTGCACCTGATCTCCAGACTTCAGAGATCAGTTCCCTTGGAGAAAATGCCTTCTTTTGAAGGTGGACTGTATGGCATTATACCTCATTGAGGTCCCTCCCCTGGCCCCACCCACAGATCTCCAGGAATTTCCCAATCCGGAGATGGCAACCCTACTTTGGGGGGGTGCCACTTAGGTATCAGACCAATTTCCATTATAATACATTTCTCCCAAAGAGAATGCCCCAGTGCCAGATTCTCAAAGCTTGCAGGCTTCTTACCCAGAGGATAAATGGCAGGTCCAGCTGGGAGTGCTTCTGCTACGTCCTTTGGAGTATACAGCTCTTCCGTTTCCACAAGGGGAGCAGAAGCCTCCGCTTGGGGATGTACCGAAAACTCCACTTGGGCATCCAGAGAGGATTCCGCTTGGGGATCCAGAGAGGGCCCCGCTTCCTGCTCCAGCGGGGTCTCTGTTAGCTCACGTTTCTCCTCTGCAGCGCTTGGCTGAGGTTCTCTCTCCGGTTCTGGAACCTGGCGCCGGCCTCGGCCTCTCCCCGCTCCTCTTCTCCTCGTCCTCTTGCTCTTGCTCTGATCCCTGTCAATTCACACATAAAGCCATTACACTAAAGTAAGGAAGGAAGGAAGGAAGCCGTGGGAGCTAAGCGATGACTCCCAAGTAGGGTTGCCAACCTCCAGGTGGTGTCTGGAGACCTGAGAGACAGAGATCAGTTCCTCTGGAGAAAATGGCTGCTTTGGAAAGGGGACTATATGGCGTTATACCCAATGAAGTCCCGCCCCTCCCCAAACTCCGCCCCTCTCAGGCTACACGGATTCCTTCCTTTGGAGGGTGGAGTCTATGATATCATACTCCAGAGGTCCCTCCCCTCCTCAAACCCTGCCCTCTCCAGGCTCCACCTGCAAATCTCCAGGAATTCCCCAAACCAGAGATGGCAACCCTATTGGGGAGTGGCTTCTTCTTCTTCTTCTTTTTCATGCTTTCCCACAGCATCATGGAGCATCTGTGTACCTCCTGGGATTGCCCTGACTTCTCTCCAATCATTCCCAAACGTACTTTGCCGTCAAGGTTTGGGAAAGCGCACAGCAAAAGCCTGAATGGCTGCCGACTGGGTGGGAAAGTTTGGATTTTCCTGGCCCCGCCCATGTGGCAGCCATTTTTCCTGCAGTAGTCTGAGGCATACATCTACCTCAGATCCTCATACTGGCCTACCTGTGCCCCCCTTTGTTCCTGCGACTTCGTCACCCTGAGCCGCTTGAAGGACTCCTGGTAGGGCTGCCGACCTCCAGAATTGCAGTTGATGTCCAGACTACAGATATCAGTTCCCCTGGTGAAATGGTTGCTTTGGAGGGCATCATACGCCACCAAGGTCCTCCCCAGACCCTACTGTCTCCAGGTTCCAGCCCCAGATCTCCCTGCCTGGAGCTGGCAACCCTACCTTTGCAGGAATTAAGTGACTAATTTGTCCAGGAATGTCCCTGCCTGGAGCTGGCAACCCTAACTTTGCAGGAATTAAGTGACTAATTTGTCCACTTATTTCAGTAGAGCTAACTTGTTTGGGATTAAGAGAAGAGGAGGAGGAGGAAGAAGAAGAAGAGGTGGAGGAGGAAGAGGAAGAGGACGACAAGGACGAGGAGGAGGACGAGATTGGATTTATATCCCGCCCTTCACTCGGCGTCTCAAAGCGGTTTACAATCTCCTTTCCTTCCTCTCCCCACAACAGACCCCCTGTGAGGCAGGTGGGGCTGAGAGAGCTCTGAGAGAACTGCTCTTGAGAGAAAAGCTCTCAGAGAACTTTGACTGACCCAAGGTCACCCAGCTGGCTGCATGTGGAGAAGCGGGGAATCAAACCTGGTTCTCCAGATTAGAGTCCACCACTCTTAACCACTATACCAAACTGGCTATGGTACTGTCAGTGTTTATAGATCCAAAAGTTGTTCTTGTTTTCTCAACCAGTCCATATTACAGGGGAAACAAGAGATTTCTTGGCTGCTCAAATAAAAATGTTACTTTCTCATTTGCCTGCTTTACCCCAGAACCCACTGGTAAGTGTCTTTTTCCTCCGCTTCTGCTTTCCTCTTTCTGAGAAGCTCTCGGTCTCTCAGACGGCGTGTGATGACAACAGTTTCTGTAAGAGGGAAGTAATACAGTACATGTTAAGAGAGGCCGTTTGAGCCCTGACCTGAATAGCCCAGGCAAGCCCAATCTCGTTAGATCTCGGAAGCTAAACAGGGCCGACCCTGGCAGGTATTTGGATGGGAGACCTCCAAGGAATACCAGGGCCAGGACACAGAGGGAGACAATAGCAAACCACCTCTCAGAAATGCCCAAGCCCCACTAGGGGTCGCCAGAAGTCAACTGTGACTTCCGGGCACATACTCTTTCTCTCTCACACACACACACAAATACTCACCAAAAAAAGAAAGAGGCAGTTTGGTGGACTGATTAAGAGTATCTAATTAAAATCTGGGAGACTCAGGTTCAAATCCCCATGCGGCCATGGCATTCACTGGGGGGACTTCAGGCCAGCCACGGTTTCAGCCTAACCCACCTTACAGGATTGCTGGGAGAAACACATGAGGACTGGAAAGCCACGTACCCTAGAGACCTTGGGGTGGAATTACAATATGCAAGACAAGGTGGTTCTAATGATAGATTACTACACACACACTCCCAGTAAGTGGGAAATGACCCCCAAATAGACATTTGTAGGCTTGGAGAATTCTAGAACAATGAACGCTTTTCAGCCACATGGGAGCGTGTGTTGGCTTAGCGAGAGAGAAAGATTGTCAAGGGACTGGAAAAGCCATTTAGGAAGGGCAGAAAACAGTGACATTCCTACCACACTCCAGTGTGTCTGATCACACATGAGTATTTCTTTGGAGCAACATTGCTGGTGGTTATGATGGGGTTAAAGTAGGGATGCCAACCTCCAGGTGAGACCTGGGGATCTCCCAGAATTACAGCTCATCCCCAGACTCCAGAGATCAGTTCCCAAGTAGAAAATTGATGCTTCGGAGGGTGGACTCTATGTTATTGTACCCTATCGAGGCTCCTGTTCTCCTCAGGATCCACCCCCAAATCTCCAGGAGTTTCCCAACCTGGATCTGGCAACCCTACCTTACCGTCTCCCACTGGTGGCCAAGGGAGTACCTGGCAGCCCTAGGTTAAAAGCTATAACAAGGAATACTCTTACGATCCTTTGCTTTTCAGTGATTGACTCTTTAATATATCCAAGAGCAACAATAGCATAAACCAGGTGTTTCATAAACCTCTTTGTTTTTGCAAAATGATGGAGGTTGCCAAACCCTTGACAGGCCAGAGTACAAAGGTGGTATGTGCTGTATTTAACCTGGTATAAAAAGACCAGGAACACAGCCAAATCAGTAGAAGGGAGTATAAACGCTATGTAGCCCTAAACTGCTCTAAAATGGAATCTTTATTAACAATACTATACTATCAAATGTCTTAAAGAGAATAAATTTAACAATCAATGTTACAACATAAACATACAGCAAAAAATTGTAAATAAAACCCAGCTCATACAGAGTCCGGAGCCGCGTTACTTGTGAAGACGTTCCTAACATCCCTGCAACTGTTTACACATTGATTTGTACCAGGGCTTTTTTTGTAGAAAAAGCCCAGGTGGAACACATTAGCATAATAGGCCACACCCAACAGCAGAAACTCATTAGCATATTAGCCCACACCATGGACAGTGCAGCTCATTTGCATATTAGGCCACACCCTGTGCCTTTCCTTGACTTGCCCGGGAGACCTGCAGCTGTGGGGAGCCCGGGCAAGCCAGCCCTTGGAGGAAAGGGTTTAAACTGCCTTAACTTGGCTTGCCCAGGTGCCCCACGGCTGCGGGAGCCCGGGCAAACCGGGCCCTGGGTGCCCTTGGACAGGCCGGGGAAGGCATGGGGAGGCATTTAAATGCCTCCCCGATCCTTCCAGGGGGCCCCCTGGCCTGCTCGCCTCGGAGTCGCTGGGGGGGTTACTCTCCAGGACTTCCCTCTGTAGCCACGCATGCAGAGGTTTTGGCTGTGGTGGGTGTGGCCAACTCTGAAGCCAGCCAGAACTCCGTTCCTGTGCGTTCCTGCCCAAAAATAGCCCTGATTTGTACTATATGGCTCCTTTTGCAGGCATTTAACCTGGTGGCTCACAACAATGTGTGCAGACCTTCAATAAAACGTCCACAGAGCACTGTTGTTAAGCATGCTCATAGTTAGTTGTGATTTGGGGAGGCGAGTGTACCCTTGCTCTGAAGCTGAAATTAATTGTATTACTGATCTGTTCGTACTATGCAGTTTATTCCTCTCCCCAAGCCAGTGTGGTGTAGTGGTTAAGAGTGGTGGACTTTAATCTGGGACAACTGGGTTTGATTCCCCACTCCTCCACATGAAGCCAGCTGGGTGACCTTGGGTCAGTCAAAATTCTCTCAGAGCTCTCTCAGCCCCACCTACCTCACAGGGTGTCTGCTGTGGGGAGAGGAAGGGAATTGTAAGCCGCTTTGAGACACCTTCGGTAGTGAAAAGCGGGGTATAAAACCAACTCTTCTTCTTCAAACTCCACTCTCCCAGGCTCCCACCCCCAAATGTCCAGGAATTTTCCAGGCCAGAATTGGTAACCCAACATGCAATGGACATGTGCTGTGTCTTGCTGCACCATCATTAAACTGATAGTTCGGCTAGCAATCCATAAAGCTACATACAGCCAAAATAAAACTGACAATTTAAATATATATATATGATTTAGCTGACAAATGTTTAGTAAATGATTTTGCTTTTGGTTGGTTTATTTGATAGTCTACTCCATCTTCAAGGCTGTACTTCCATGGTGGAAAGTGCCATCAGCTGATTTATGTCAACCCCATGGGGTTTTCAAGACAAGAGATGTTCAGATGTTGAGTGCCAGTTTGGTGTAGTGGTTAAGTGTGCGGACTCTAATCTGGGAGAACCGGGTTTGATTCCCCCCCTCCTCCACTTGCACCTGCTGATGTGACCTTGGGTCAGTCGCAAGCTCTGGCACAGCTGTCCTTGAAAAAGAGCAGTTTGTGTCAGAGCTCTCTCAGCCCCACCCACCTCACAGGGTGTCTGTTGTGGGGAGGGGAAGGGAAAGGAGTTTGTCAGCCGCTCTGAGACTCCAAGTGAAGGGCGGGGTATAAATCCAATCTCCTCCTCCTCCTCCAGAGTTGGTTTGCACTGCAAACTCGATATTCCTTGGTGGTCTCCCATCCAAATACTAACCGGGGCTGATCCTGCTTAGCTTCTGAGATCTGAGGAGATCAGACTAGCTGAGGCTATCCAGGTCAGGGCAGACTGTGCTTTACAAGAGATTAAAATACAAAACACTGCATTGTACTATGGTCGCTATGTTAAAATTGAACAAACACCAATTAAACGGCTAAAAATATTTTCATCTGCCTCCCCGAATCCTACAAGGCTTTATCCTAGCTCCCCCAAAGTGAAAAACCACATAAAAAGGTCTTACAAAGTTCCCAAACATGCTTAAGGTTTGCTCTGGGGTAGTCAGCCATGTTCAGACGGCAAGAGCACAGTAGCATTCCTGGTACCTCCCGCCTGTAGCCGTGGAGGACCCGGCAACCCCACGTCTAGACACAATTAAGGAATCACTGGATGATCACTAGATTGTGTAAGTGTGTAGGCTTTGAAGGCTGTGGGAGAATCTACCTCAGGCACACCATTCCCTTCACTCAGCTCTTCAGTATTTGGGAACTTGGGCTGCCTTGATAGTGTTAACAAGCGTCTTTGTTCCTGACAGGAGGAGTTTTCAGTCCGTGCGAAAGCATTGGTAGGGACCAAGTTCGATAATATCTCAACACTGCCCCCAACAGTCCAGAGAAGGAAATTAACACAAGTTATTTATTTATCACAAGTTGCCAAGTACAATCAGGGAAAAAGTTTGTCCATTCCATTTCCCTCCTCTCCCCTGCAATTTCTGAAGTTAATGGAACAAAATGTTCCAAACCCCCCCCCCCAGCCTATTACTTGTCACAAAGGAATCGGAAGGAGGTCGGTATTTTTAACATTTCAAGACATCCAGCATGCATTCTAACAAGTCAAGAGTCAGACAGGTAAGAGTTTGTTCATTTGGTGTTCTCTCAGCCAACAAATGAAAATAGGAACATTCTTGTTCATTTGGTGTTCTCTCAGCCAACAAATGAAAATAGGAACATTCTTGTACACTTGTAAATGACCCTGTTCTGGCTCCTAGGAATACTACCTGAATACTACCTGACGACCCATGGCTGGAGGCTTTTCTTTGTCTACCACACATTAAACTGACCACAGCAGCCCATGTTTTATCTAACAATGGAGCTGATTATAAGGACTGCTCTAACTTGTAAATCATCAGCATTTACCAATAGATAAATTGGTGATGAAAGGAAAGCTGCTACTGGTCTTCGAAAGCCATGCTCATTCGAGTAAGGCTAGAACTGAACCGTTATGAGGGAAACGACGGGGTTCCTACCCTGTTGTTTTGCTCATGTGGAAATGAAGGGACAGAGGGGAATCAGTCACCAGTTTGTCCTCTGCAAGTCCCATCTAAAAAGGTAAAGGTTCTCTTGCTCGAAAGCCAGTCGAATCCGACTCTAGGGTTGCGGTACTCATCTCCGTTTCAAAGCCGAAGAGCCAGCGCTGTCCAAAGACGTTTCCGTGGTCATGTGGCCGGCATGACTAAACACCAAGGTGCAAGGAGCACTGTTACCTTCCCACTGAAGTGGTACCTATTTATCTACTTGCAATTTCTTGCTTTCGAACTGCTAGGTTGGCAGGAGCTGGAACTAGAGACGGGAGCTCACTCCGTCATGCAGCACACTCGGGTCTCGAACTGCTGAACTACTGACCTTCCACAGCCTGCAGTTCAGCGTCTTAACCACTTGAGCCACCGCAGCTCCCACCTACTGCTGTTTTAACCTTTCTCCCCCAAAAAACTGGTTCCTGAGACCATAAAAAGACCTAACAGTTCCAAATTATCCATTAGGGTCATTGTAGGAGAGAAGCTGTGGGAATGGGAAGGGTTAAAAATGTACACCCCCTCCCACCTACTGATTTTCCTCCACAAAGATGTCTTCTGTTCTGGCAGATGCCTTATTTCAGCCAAGGCAGTTTTGAGAACAGGCCCTTTCTGAGGTAACTGACTTGATCCACCACATCCCCCTCACAGATTTAATTTCAGGTGAAATCCATCTGGGCATATCATGAAACTTGTTCTTCTCACGTATGCAGAACATTCCAGCATCCTGAAAACATTTTGACTATTGTTGTGGCAGAAAGTACTATGAAATTGCAGCTGACTTATGGCGACCTCCCAGTAGGGTTTTCAAGGCAGATTTAATTTCAGGTGAAATCCATCTGGGCATATCATGAAACTTGTTCTTCTCACATTTGCAGAACATTCCAGCATCCTGAAAACATTTTGACTATTGTTGTGGCAGAAAGTACTATGAAATTGCAGCTGACTTATGGCGACCTCCCAGTAGGGTTTTCAAGGCAAGAGACAAACAGAGGTGGTTTGTCATTACCTGCCTCTGCCTTGCGAACCTGGACTTCCTTGGTGGTCTCCCATTTAAGCAACTAACCAGGATTGACTCTGCTTAGCTTCCAAGATCTGATGAGATCGTAGAAGCCTGGGCCATCCAAGCTATTGTTAACCAACCTTTATTATGGGGCTGAAACCTGAACAATTCTGTTGCCCACTAACAACATTTTTTTTTAAGGCACCCATAGCCCACATGTCTCCCCTAATGAGAAATCAAAGAACAGTTTCCCCAGGAATCTATCAGAAAGCAGAAAGCGTTTCTGGTGAATCAAGGCCGTTTTAGACATACGTACATCTAACTGAAACTCAGCTCTGTGCACATTAATAAGTTCACTTTCCCAAGAAAAAGCTTTATTACCTCGAACGTCATACTCCACAGTCGTGGTCTCTGGCTGCTGTGCATGTTCAGAATATGAGTGGTCCTTTTCTAAGCTCTCCATCTGCAAGGGTTTCTTTTTTCAAAAAAGTAAATATATTTAGAAGAGCTTCGCTCCACCATAGAGTCATCTAAGCCATCGAGTGCTTTAGTGCAAAGGAAAAGTTTCAGAAAAAGGAGAAAAAGAACCAAACTACCCGCCCAAAGCAGCTTATCTCTCTTAGACACTGGTGTGTCTATACTATTTTTCCTTATCAAGTTGCAGAGGTGTTTAAATACATGCTTACATCCTGGCATACTCCTGTCAGACATGAATATGCCCACTCCTGTATCTCATTCAACACAAGAAATACTGTTTTCATCAAATAATCTGTTATGTCTCAGACATTTTAAGCATAGGTAGGAAGAAACACTGGGCATATCTTGCTCACAACAACAAAATACCTCGAACCATCTAGGGATGCCAACCTCCAGGTGGGACCTGGGGATCCTGCGGAATTACAGCTCATTTCTAGACTACAGAGATCAGCTCCCCTAGAGAAAATGGATGCTTTGGAGGGTGGGCTCTATGGCATTATACCCCACTGAGGTCCCTGCCCTCCCCAGGCTCCCAATCTCCAGGAGTTTCCCAACCTGGATCTGGCAACCCCCCACAAGTGGCCAGGGAGTCTGGGCAATCCTAGAACCATCCCTGTTTTCAGGGATGAGCCAAGGACTTTTCGGACCCTAGGCAGGCTGGCTCACGTGCTCACCCCTGCCAGCCAGCCCAGGTACACCCTGAGTCACCATCCATCTGGGCATCTCAGGGCTCACTTGCCAGCCAGTACATCAGGAGAAAGTGTGGTGGTGGGGGTGCATTCAAACCTGGAAGCGACACCACTTCCAGGGACACTCTAGGAATCCCCCAAATCTCTATGGTAAAGTCCAAGTCACCAGCTGGCCGGCCAGCCAGAGTGGCCGTACTTGGGCCAGGGGACCCTAGAGGCAATAGCCTTGGGCAGGAGTCCTCAAGGTGGTGCCCATGGGAACAATGGAGCCCACGACACCTTTCTTAGCCCTCACCAAGTGTTTTTAGAAAGCGGATGGGGCCAGGTGGGGCTCTTGCCCAGCAGGGCTTCTGATTGGCCAGTGAAGATCTGATTGGCGTTGCAGATTACAGTATTGCTTCAGTGCCCCACGACTTTCCCAGTGTATTTTAAAATTACCCCTCTACTCCCTTGCATTCTTAAAATCATCTCTCTTTCCCCCTGCACTTGTGTTTGGCTCCGCCTCCTGTGAAAGCCATTTTGTGGTTGACTCCGCCTGCTGGTGCACTCATGTTGTGGTTGCACCCTCACCACCCTGTGTCAGAATTCCAGTAGCTGCATTGTTCATTGCATGTCTTATGTTGTTTTCTTTTACTTACTTTTAATTCTAATTTCCTAATTTGCTTTGAGTCTCAGCAAGAAACGCAGTACAGTAATTGACAATAAGTAAAATAATAAAACGTTTTTGTTGTTGTTCCATTCATGGCCAATTCACACGGTATAAAGACCTCATGCTGGGAGTTCCATGCAGGGAACTTAATTTGTATTCACGCACAGGCCTGATTCAGATCAGGACCACTGGACACAGGGTGAGAAGTATTCAGCCTCCCCCTTCCTTGGTGCATTTTTCCCGACGAGTAACAGCCCCAGAGACCCCATTTGCCTGAATAGGGAAACTTAACATGTAGGTATCAGCTCACATTAAATTTCCCTAAGAGGCCAAAGAAAAATGGCTCCTTGGTGCCATTTCAGGTTGGGAAAAGGATACAAGGAGAAGAGGCTTAAGCCTTTTGTTCTCGCATGCCATGTGTCTGATCTGAATCCTAAAACTGAGTTCTTAGCAGGGAACTTGAACGTCTGACAGAAAGTCTTCATGATCTCAACTTCGTAATGTGATTAATCCCCAATTATGGTGTAAGGCAGGGATCCCCCAATATGGTTCCCATATGCAGGGGTCATTTCCTGCAGGAGAGCACAGGAGCAGAGCTCTGGCAGTAAAGAGCCCAAGGGGCGAGCACATGCAACAAGCCCCACCCCCTGCTCCCAGCAGCCCTCAGTCAGAACAAGAAGCAGCCAGGTAAGTTGCAGAGCTCCCCCCAGCCCCCCGGTCCAAAACAGTCCAGTGGCACCTTTAAGACCAAGTTTTATTCAGTTACAAGCTCTCCCTCCTCTGCTAGGACAGATCTGCACGTCCCCCCCTCAATAGCTAGCAATCCAAAACAGTCCAGTGGAGCCTGAGGGGTGGGTGTTGCCTTCTGACACACTTCCGGTGATGTCAGGGTGTGTGGCATATGCAAATAAGTTATGCTAATGAGTTATGCTAATGAGCTCCTGCACCTCTTTTTCTACAAAATGACACCTGCCCATATGTGCCATGGGGCCCACCAACATCTTTTTTTGTGCCCACCAAGTGGGTGTCTGTTTCTGTTCACACGTGTTTCAAGGAAGTTTTGCCTGTGTCTTGCATTGTTCAGGGTGAATCAGCAGACTGGGCTTGCCATGGTAAATTTCCCCGCCACAAATTTTCCCGGCAACTTCCACCTCACAAAGTAGTCTTTTGAATCCGCCTCAGTGCAAGTCGGGATTCCGCCAACACACCACCAACAGCATTCCACAAATATCTTCTCTAAGATGTGTGGACCTTACCACATGAGAGCTTCAGCCATGTAAACATTCAGGGAGGGGTTACCTCACAATGGCCACTTTCCCCACATCATATAAATTAGTCCTCCGAGCCTACAACATGGCCAATACCTGCCACATTTAAGTGTCACCTGCCTACCCAAACTCATTTATGTCCAGTTCTATGCTCCCTCTAAGCTGTGGAGTCATGTGAGCGAAAAGTCTACTTTATACCGGTCCAGTCTGTAACGCCAAAAAAGTGACATTTCAGGAGCCTTCATTTCCAGGACAGCTCCTGGACAGCTTCCCCACCACTCTTAAATGATGTTCTGTGGCTGGGGTTAACTCTTGAGTCAAAGTCCTTCTACACCAGTACTTGCAGTCCCTCCCTCCCGGTTTGGGACACCTCCCTTGTGTTTGATGCAGATTATTTGGCCCCACTGGGAAGGTGGGGTAGATTCTGGAAGACGCATTGGAAGTTGAGAAATAGCCCAGGAATATGCCTCCTGTCTACTGTGATAGGCATGAGTTTACCCATTTCAGTACATGTAGAAGAACAGCCCAGGAGATCCCTCATGTGTGATTCAGGTACATTTGCCCGAGCTTGCACCTCAGAAATCTCTCTGATAAAATTAGTTGAAGAATATTTCTACTAAACATGGATGCTGCCTGACCAATTCAAATACTCTGTTAGAATTAAATTCACATTACCTAGGCTTTGAGAACAGGGACAGTTAGCTTCTAAAGGAGAAATGACAAGCAGAAATAAACATGGGGCAAAGAAGGGCAGGTTGGAGGCTCCTGCTTCCCTTTGCGATCGTGAGCCAGTTTGGTGTAGTGGTTAAGAGTGGTAGACTCTAATCTGGAGAACCAGTTTGATTTCCCATTTCTCCACACGAAGCCAGCTGGGTGACCTTGGGCCAGTCACAGTTCTTTCAGAGCTCCCTCAGCCCCTAAAAACAGGTCTAGCTTGCCACTAGCACAACGCTAAGAGCTAGAACTTGTGGCTGCCAGACAATCTTCGGATCTCCTGGGGCAGAATTCACGAAATAGAGCTGGTTGTACACATTTTGATGTGATCAATATAATATGTGTATGTGTGTTAAATGCCATCACGTTGCTTCTCACTTATGACAACCCTATGAAT